TTGAAGAGTTTTCGGCTTCATTCATTTTCAACAAGGAACAAAATAAATTTTTTAAGTAGCCGAAGTAAGTTGAAATTAGCAAACAGGTACAAAAAAAGTAGAACCAGAACAAAATGTAAAATAAAGATTTTGCAGAACAAAAAGTGTCTGAAAAAGCTAAAAAGCTGAAAAAGCATAAATTGCAGAAGTACCAAAAGTCATGGCTGAAAGAATTGAACTGTAAATTGCTGAAATAGCACAAAATAGTGGAACAAGATACGAGCCGAAAAACATGCAGAATAAAAAATGATCTCAACGGAGTGATCAGAACTCACACAATTATAATCTGCAACATAAATTTACTGAGAAAAAAAAAACATTTTTTTGATTTCCTAAGAAAGAAAGCTGGATATGTGTGCTGGAGGACACTCTTATCTTTAACATGTAAACACTTCACCCTCTTCACTAAGGTAGGCTGGCTGTGGCAGCCATCTTAAATTTGTTTGACTCCAAAAGTTCATCGGTGGTGGAGGGCAAAAAAAATATTACTAACAGTAACCAGGACAAACCAGGTCCAAATGATTCCGTTTTACCTCCATTTAAGTTTCCTGATGCATCGCTGGGCTAAAAGCCGTTTCATGTTCTGTGACTAAATCTAAGCCAGCCGGGTTTTGGAAACGTGAACATCCACGGCATTAGGCAGAAAAAGAGAGGTGGAAAAGAAAAAAGAAAAAGAAACAAAAGACATGAAGAATATATCAAAGCACATGCCTGGGGTCTAACCAAGTGCAAATGGAAAAGTAAAGAACCACATCAGCACATGGCAAGAACTAAAACCCACAAGACACATTTCCAAGAGTGTTTCTCCTCTTTCTGCCAACATTCTTCTCTAACTTTTTGACTTGTGATTTCTGACTCAGACCTGCTTTGTTACGCTCCCTCCCACCTCCTCCCTATGGCCTTTTTTTCCTTTTCTTCTCTAGTTGTTGGAGATTTGACTAGCTTGCTTTACTACCACAAGAGGGAAACCATGTGCCTCTGTAGTGAGGGGGGAAATGCATGTGGCTGTGCATGTGTGTGTGTGTGTGTGTGTGTGTGTGTGTGTGTGTG